TGGTAGTGTTGTTGTTGTTGGTGGTGGGGGTGGTAGTATTTTTGTTGTTGTTGGTGGAGGTGGTAGAGTTACTGTTAATGGTGGTGTTTTGTTGGTGGTGGTGTGGTGGTGGTGGTGGTAGTGCTGGCGATGTCGTGGTGGTAGTGGTGGTAGTGGTGGTAGTGGTGGTGGTGGTGGTTGTGGTGGTTTTGTTGTTGTTGGTGGTGGGGATGGTGATGGTGGTGGTGATGGTGAGGGTGGTGGTGTTATTTTTTTTTGGTGGTAATGCTGTGGTGGTAGTGTTGTTGTTGTTGTTGTTGTGAGGGATAGGTGGACGGGGCTGATACTCTGTACTGTGATGGGTAGGTGGGCTGAAACACTCTGTGTTGCTTCTGTCTGTCTGTCTGTCTGTCTGCCTTGCTTCTTCCCTTCACTATACAAATGTTATTTTCTTTTTTCATTTACTTTATTCATTAAAATCTTCTGTGTTTTTTAGAATTTATTTGTGAAAAAAAAAGAGAAAAAAAGTTGGTGCTTCGCAATGTTTCAAGATCAAGGTTATCCTACATGAGACCCGTTCTGTATACGGACATTTTACCAAAATGACTTTTACTAGCTCGTCTTGTACAGTAAATCTGCCAATGTGCTTCTCTTTACTCACTCTCAAGGCGGCTACACATTTACGTTCCAAACTGCCGGTTCTGAATGGAAAGGCAAACTTGGCGGCAGAACCGCAGATGTGGATGAAAAACTGCTAGTAAAAAGTTAAACGGGAGGCCGAACTGATGGTTTCAACATTTTTGGATTTTCTGACTACAGTTCAGTATGTTCCGTCGACGACAGCCTTTGTGGCGATCACAGGCTTAACCGGCTTATCTTGTCACTGCCAATATCTTCAAAATGATTTACCACCCATAAAAAAATCTGATTACATTTTTTAAACGAGCAACCCAATTTTAAGGCAAGATTCGAGCAGAATTTGATTTGTGTTTTTTTCACTAATTAAAGAGATTTGTAAAATTCCCACATAATAATACATTCAGTGAAGGGGTTCAGTACACTCCGCCATTTTAAAATTTGATTTTGAGTTGTGGTTAAACCGCACGTGATTGGGATGGCGCGCTGACCCGTCGAACAGCGGTTTTCCGCGACGGTTTCAACGCCGGTTCCCACTTCGGTTTAAACCACCATATTGGAACGTACATATGTAACGGCCTTCCCACCACTCTCCCTTGTCCAGTACGTGCGGCTGGCGGTTGACACTCCCATGGAGACAGTCCTGGAACTGCTCACCACGCAGTGGGGTTTGCCCAAACCAAACCTGCTCATCTCCGTCACAGGCGGCGCCAAAGCTTTCCAAGTGAGCTCAGGGCTCAGGGCCAAGTTCCAGAAAGGTCTCATTAACGCCGTTTCATCGACAGGTGATTATGAAAGGAAAACCATCATCATCATCCTCATCATCCTCATCATCCTCATCATCCTCATCATCATCATCATCATCATCCTCATCATCCTCATCATCCTCATCATCATCATCATCATCATCATCATCATCATCATCATCATCATCAAAACACAATCAACTTGTTTTGGTATCCAGTGTGTGAAAGACTTTCTCTGACGTTATTGATTCAACGACCAGTTGTCCCTGGAGAGAATGAGTGCATTATGACATGTGTCACTAAGTGTCCCCCGACATATTATGTGTCACTGTGTGTCCATCGACATATGTGTCACTGAGTGTGTCACTGAGTGTCCACCGCCATATTATGTGTCATTGTGTGTCCACTGACATATGTGTCACTGAGTGTGTCGCTGAGTGTCCACCGACATATTATGTGTCATTGTGTGTCTACCGACATATTATGTGTCACTGAGTGTGTCACCAAGTGTCCAGCGACATATGTGTCACTGTGTGTCCACCGACATATGTGTCACTGAGTGTGTCATTGTGTGTCCACCGACATATGTGTTACTGAGTGTGTCATTGTGTGTCCATCGACATATGTGTCATTGTGTGTCCACCGACATATGTGTCACTGAGTGTCCACCGACATATGTGTCACTGAGTGTGTCATTGTGTGTCTACCGACATATGTGTCACTGAGTGTGTCACTGAGTGTCCACCGACATATGTGTCACTGAGTGTGTCCTTGTGTGTCCACAGACATATGTGTCACTGAGTATGCCACTGAGTGTGTCATTGTGTGTCCACCGACATATGTGTCACTGAGTGTGCCATTGATTGTCCACCGACATATGTGTCACTGAGTATGCCACTGAGTGTGTCATTGTGTGTCCACCGACATATGTGTCACTGAGTGTGTCATTTTGTGTCCACCGACATATGTGTCACTGAGTGTGTCATTGTGTGTCCACCGACATATTATGTGTCACTGAGTGTGTCACTGAGTGTCCACCGACATATGTGTCACTGAGTGTGTCCTTGTGTGTCCACCGACATATTTGTCACTGAGTATGCCACTGAGTGTGTCATTGTGGGTCCACCAACATATGTGCCACAGTGTGTGTCACTGAGTGTCCATAATATGCTTGATACACCGCTACCGCAGAATTACAAAGTTCTCTCTGAGGAGTACCTAGTTTTGAGAAATTTGACATGAAACATTTTGAGCTTCTCAACATGTCAAACAATTCTTTGGATATTTTGATAGCGACTGCGAATAACCTTATGATTTTGATAGAAAAGAGGGAACATTTGGTTTCTGACCTCATGGTCTTAGTAACTGAAAACGACCAAAACTTTACTTACCTTTACTTTTTTATCCTCTGTTGCCATTAAACACAAAGGGGAAATGCAGTTTTCTGCAGTAGGCCAGATTATAATTTCTAAGGGTTACCTTGACTCCCTCAACCCATCTTTTGCGTGGCCTACCTCTCCCTTTATAGTCAGAGTACTTGGTGTTACAGCCAAATTATCAGACCAAACTTTGGAAATTTAACGTAACAATATGTTGCCAAAACATCCTAACAGAAAGACAGAAATACTCAAAACAAAATTCTCCCCTCTCAGGGATTGAATTTGGGTGCCCTGTGTGCGACACCACAGACACCAGTGTTAAGAATTCTATTTTTAGACCGGTGTGACTTTGGCTCTATAATCAAATTTTAAGTTAGTATAAATTATCTGCATGTGTATTTACCATTCATGAACAACCACAGAAAACTTCCCGCAGAGACAGTTTAATATCTTATCTCATCTTATCTCATCTTATGTCACCCCACTTCAACCCAATCCACCCCCACCCACTCCTCACCCTACCCTCTCCATCATCTCACCTCACCCCACCTCACCTCACCCCACCCAACCCCACCTCACCCCAAATTAACTCACCCACCCCAC